TTCACAAAATCCCACAAAGGTGGAAACGTCAAACCTTTGGCATCTTTGACAGTGAGAAAAGACACCTTGAACTAATTCCTTTCCAAGGATCTTTCTTCTTGAAAAACAAACACCTCAGGAATAAGGTTACACTTAAACACTCTGCACCTTACCCCAACACTGTAATAAAACAAAACCTCCTCACTCACCTGTAATTCACACCTGTTGTACCTTTCTTCAACCCTTTAATCATTTCTTGATGAGTGATGCGGAATTCCTTTCCGGGGTACAGTAGAGTGACCATAACACAGTGCTTGGAGTGCGAGTGAATCACTGCTCCAGCTCCTAACACAATAAACAAGCAACTGCTTTGAGGAAAGAACACTGAATTGCTCAAAGTAAGTTACAAGCTGGGATGGGAATTTTTGCAAATTTTTTCTATTAGCTGATCAAGATTAAAAGGCTAATATCAGTCCCACTAGATATACTTACCATATATAAAATTCACTATCATAAGCTTACATACCCATCACTGTCATCTTTCTTTGCTTATTGCTGTGAATTGAAGTCAACTTTTCTGGTTCACACAACTTTTATCATTATAATACTATTCAAAATGGCGTACACTGCAAAAGTCAATTATTGGAAAAAATTTGCTGGCAAATTCTGCACACAGGTGATCAGATTTGTCTCCATTGGCTACAAAATTTTCTGGTGTGTTGCTCACTTATTATTAAATGGAATCATGAAGTGTAATAATACTGTGTATGTGGTTACCTCTCATTGTGAAGGCATTCATAAATAAAGGAGTACATTGGCTTTTCTTGAGTTTCTTCCTGTAATGTGTGATATAAATCAGAAAATACTCTAAGTTAGAAATAACAGATGACATAATGAATAAAGTACAGGTTAATTTCTCTAGTATTCACATTTTTTTAAAGCAGATAAATGTTAAGGAATGTATTGAAATTATAATTACTCTGGAGGAGGAGAACAAAGCTCATTTTCATCCATGTCACACACAAACATGTCTTCAGGCTACAAAGAATAAAACATGCAAGAAAAAAATCAAATTGTGTTGAGATGAAAATGTGTAAAGTTACAACTGGTGTTTTCTCAATAGTTACAGTTGTATATGAAATATAAAGAACAACAAAAAAGTATTTTTACAGGGTTACAGACTGTCTAATAAAACCATTAGTATTAACATAATTTTTTGTTCATTAAAGAGTGAGGGTAGAAATGAAAATAAATTTAAATTAAAACAACTTGGCAATTGAAAGCTTTTTTGCTCTGAAAGTATAAACTATTTACCTCTATCCTTTCCTTCTGCACTCCTGAGGGTGCAATGAAGATTTCATTGCTGTCAAAAACAAAGAACAATGTCAAAAATTGTTTACAAATAAGAACTTTTAACATGAAAATGTCATGAAGCCTATTTTTAGCTAACTTGATGCTCTGAATATCCTTCAAGGTAAAGATAATTGCTTTAAAAGGTAATACATGAAACAGCCTTCTAGAGACAACTTCCAAGGATAATAGGGGAGGAGGGGGAGAGGGTGTTTGTTAGAATGTTAAAACCATTGTAAAAGCTGACTGTCAAGGGCCAGGTCTCAAAAACAGGTGTCAAGCCCAGTACTTACTCCACTTTGTTGCAAAGTAGGAAAATAGGAAAGAGTAAAAAGAAATTCCTGCAGTTTTAGATGAATTGTGAGTTTAATGTCCAGACTTCAAAAAAGTAAGGAAATGTTTTTATCAAGGAATCACATCCAATCTTATTTTAATTTTCAACAGTTAGTGGTCATAAGATAAAATGCTTATTGACTGAGTTTGGTCAGGCTGGAGGGAAAATATTTGGCTCTCCGTCATGACACACAGTCCTTGCTGCGCTTGGTCTGTACATGGTCAATAAGTACATAATATATCTGGTGTACAGGCTGGTAAGTTACAAAAACAAAGGAAGGGTGTATAAAAAAATGTCAAAAATACCATATTAAGAGCAATAATACAAACAAACCCATATTTGATACTGATCCCTCCTCCAGTTCCTGTAACCCAATCCAGGTGATAAAACTGCTTGCATAGCTCAGGAATAAGATTTCTTGGATGTTCAGGATCCCTGTCAAGTTTTGTCACCTGTTTTCAGACATTTTAAGGCACTATTTAAAGATTGATCAATTTAATATTTTTCTTTCATAGCAGTGAGAATGATGAAGAGTGTTTCAAAAATCTGTTCAGTGTAGAGCACCTTCTATAAATGGAAATCCGCATGAAAAAATATTTGAGGGCCTTTTTCCACAAGGAGAACAGAACAAGAGTTTCCAAACAACGAGCTAAAGGCAAGCGAGTTACAAACTTTTCCTATGTTCTCCCAACAACTAAGAGGGTTATTACCATAACGCTGGTAAACCAGTAGAAAGTGTGGTCTACTGCTTTTGTAAAATAAACTTACTTGATGTTTCAATTTCCATGGATTTAATGATCCAATCCGGACACTAGAAGTATTAATGATTTTTCAAAATCAATTTTGTCTACAATAAATTTCCAAGTTCGATCAATTGGAACTTTTCCACGTTTTCCTTAGTATCGATTGGTGGTTGTTCTCGAGCTCTGCGATGCCGAACCTGAGTACGTGATTGTTACAACATAATTTAGCGACTCACTTATTTTCCCTTGGACCAACTTGTTATACAGTAATGTAATTACAGTTTCGAACCCTTTAAAAACGAAAATTTAGTAGATTCGCGTGTCACGGACACTCAGCTGACATTTACACAAACCAAAGTACCATATCCTCTGTGAGTTAAATCACCAATAAATGCGATAAATTGAATTTTTACAATGGATTAAGTCAAAATATTCTTTTACCTTCGAGTATTCCGCTGAAAATTCGTCCAAACTCGATCTCTTCGCCATGGTCACAATGCCCACGATTTGCATTCAACGATAGAAAATTTGCTGCCGCTTTTAAGTTTGCCCCAGGGCCCCTCTGGTTTAACTCTGTGCGCGGGAAAAAGCGCTTTTTTCCGCGCCATTTTTAACTCGTGAATTGCGCGGATGCGCAAGAGCGAGTTGTAGATACGATGTGGGGAACGGCATACGGTTGCTCGCTCCCTCGCTCGGTCGATTCTTGTATACTTTTTTCGATTTTAGGCTTTTGAGTGCATTTGACAGTTTTTGGCGAGCAATAAACAGACGAAATGGCGACCTTTGTTGCTAAGAATAGTGGTGGGGTGACAAAGAAGCCAATGATAATCTTAAAAGAGTGTTTTTTTAGTTTCAACAAGCGGCGCCAGCGACTGGCAGGCATTCAAGGATTCACACTGTAATAACGGAACAACCTTCGTTTTTCATAAAATTGTAATTTACAATCCTTGAACTTGAAAACAATCCGAAGATTCATTGAAAATATCACTTACTGCGAAGCGCTCGGAGTTTACAGATGTTCAAAAGCTTTTTCTGTTACGGCGTGAGACTGAGGACAAAATCGATCATTACGTGTCGTATAGTGTTTTTTTCCTGTGTGAAGCAACAGAAGATGCCGGCGACTAACGAAATTACAAGTTAACACGAAAATCAAATAACACCTAAACAAACAATTTTAGCTACCGATTTTCAGTAAATTTTTAAAGAACAATTTTCTCTTACGTTTCAAGACAATTTGATGATTCAAAATACATATTACGTACTAAAATGCGAAAGTTACACACCACAAAGTCGATAAATAGACCTGAAATGAAATTCTATCTTGTTATTGATTATACGTTGCCTAGCACGTGACTAAAATCTACCCAGGCGGAGATCCAAAATGACGGTGGCAGTCTTGGCTTAGTTATATCACTCAAAAACTCATTCCCGTTTGTCTCATTTGATAAAGAGGGAATCGTTAATATTTTCATTAAGACAGTATTGCCTTGATTTTCTAATATTTATAATGATAGACAGTAAATTTCACTTTTCACCCACATCTACTTCCAACCTTTTCTTTTGAACCAGAAAGAGAAATGATATACGCTTAAAACACATGACATCATCCACCCTTGTCAAATGCAATAGCATGATCATTTCAATTGTAATGCCTTCTTATCCCAACGTTACTTTGTTTCTTTGCTACATTAGCGAACACTGAACTACTGCTCTTACTCTAGATATGACAATCAACCACAAAATTCCCTAAACCAGATAACATTAAACATAATCCAAAAAATCATGTGTCAATTCCCGAGTTTGCTCACAGAGCACTTTGATTCTTGAGCCATATTAAAGTAACTAAAGCGACCAAGTTAGCAACCATATATGGACATTATTCCTCAGCATTCCTTAGGATAAATTTCAGCTCTCTTCTCATTACACTGCTTTCAAAGAAAGTATGCAAGTATCCTGGTGATCGCATCGACAAAACAGAAGTAAGGCCAGAAGTAGTCTCGAACCCAGAATCTACCGTGAAACTGTAACTGAAATCGCTGTAAAAGGTCTGGGTACGAGACTATGCCTGAAGCGAAAGTGTAACGAAAAAGAGTTAGGAACGATCCTTTAAAAAAGTCCTGCACGATCATTTTTCATCGATGAAAGGGATTTTCTCTTAAACATTGTCAAACGGCACTACAGTAAAAAATTGGAGACGATTAAGAGTAGGAACACATCAATTTCAAAGAATTTATTAATCTTGTGAATAACATTTTTGTTATTCACTCGTATACTAAATAAAAATACGCGAGCAATCAGTATAATTTAGACTTTCATTACAGTTTCACCGGACAGAATTCAAGTGAAATAAATCTGAATAAATTTAAATCAATAATAACTTATAAATGACGACAAAAATCTTTCTAGATGTCGTTTTCCTCAAAAGTTTCGTTGTTGAAGATCAGCTTCATACAAACTTACAAATATTAATACTCTCTAATAAATATAAAAAATCACTAAAAGTAAAAATATAACTTTCGGTGGTCGAAACAAATGATGGGTTTCCTGTGTTCCTGACACACTGTAGAGTTGGAAAGTCTTTGGTTTTAGCTTTTCTATGGTGCACATGAACAGGCTGTACTAAACGCCACCCCTTCCATCGACTTTATATGGGATGGAACACATTTCCTTTGGTTGTTGTTGTTTGCCATCGAACTGACACATGCTGTTTTGTAAGACGTAATTGCCTTGCAAATGGGAACAGTAACTGTTCTGTTGCTTGGCAAAGTGAGTGACGCATGTGTACCAGTGTAACAACTGGGCTCGTCACCAGGGGACCTTTTCTGTCTCCATGCGGCAGCACCTAGCGTGGACGGATCTCCGCCATCTTCGATTCCATGCCCGATTTTGTTTAATGCAATTGCCCGACCATTTCCAAAATGAAGAAAAATTGCCAGGAAAATAGCAAGAACCTAGAAAATAGCAGCTCCGTCAATTCACTATTAGCAATATATATTATGGTGATATTCAAATTAAATTGCATCTTAATAGAGATCTCAATTTTTTCTGCCTTTTAAATTAGTCAACAAGAAAAAGGCAGCTCCTCTGTCTTATTGCCGAGTAAAACTCTTTGACGGAGGAATAAAATAAAAAAATGAAAGGGATTCTACAAACACGTTTGAAAATATCTAGGACCTTCATTGTTTTACCTTGTAAACTTCCATGACTCAATTTCTTGTTATTTCTTGTTGGTATCGGCGAGAAGTCTTCAAAACTTGTTGCTCTGTTTCTTTTCTTCTTTGAAGTCGATTTTGATGCCGATAAATCTTTTTCTCTTCTTAAATACAATTTTGAGTGCTCCTAGTTTGGTGCTGAAGTAAATGTCTAAAATTGGGTAACTACCGCTTTCCCTAAAAAATTACCCCATCCGTTTTTTTCTGTTCCCCTCGGTGTTCCGTTCTCATTCATGTTGTTTTAGTGCAGTTTCAATGATAAATCATAATTTCTTTGATCGATCCTACAACTAAATTTAAAAATGCCTTTTGAAAAATCTATAACTGAACTGCGTTGGTAAACAGATCTGAAAGGATAAGCAAATAAAATAGTTCTGTTTTAAGACAGACGAGTGTCACCAGCCACATCTTACATAACATAAATCGAAGGAGGTTTTTTTTGTCACAAACGTCTGGTTTAATTTATAAATACAATTCAATATTTCTTTAACTCCTTAAGCGGTCTCTGTGTGGAGAGAGTTTACGTCAGATCAAACGGGGAATATCAAAAATTTAAAATCACTTTCAGACGTTGTTTTTCTGTTTGTTCATTCATTTGAACAGTACGTAAAAATTCCTGCCGATTATGACTGAGACCTTGAACTGAAAAGCAATTTTCATAGCTAATCACTTTGAATATTTTATCAGCTACCACTGATGGAGAAAGGTTGTCTGATGCCAAATTAAAAACATGTATGAAATAGCTACACTGTATACTACCACGTCATATTATTACCAGATGATAGCAAGTGCATGATGGCAAGTGTAGTCGAAGGCAAGCAATCATAACTACCTTAGGGAAATCATTCCAACAGCACGAAAATGGGCTTATGTAACATAAATCTTTGATTACAAAAAAAGGCTTTCAATATTAAAATGTAACGTCATATCAAAGTGGTGCTTTTATTATTTATAGCTTAACAGTCTCAGTAGACGAGACTGTCCAACTGCTCAAGAAGATAACATAAGCTGCAAATACGACATTAAAGATAAGCATTATTTTGACTGAATGCTTAACGTTGTATTTCGATAAAAGGAAATCTTCGGGTTTTCATTTTTTACGTCATTGAAAGAGGTTTTCGAAACCGTGCCAACTAAAAACTGGGAGACATTGATAGTTTTAGCAAAGAAAAACTTCCCAAAAGGGATAAATGTCAGACATAAGATACGATACTTAGATAAAAAGTTGTGATATGATTGTGATCCGTAAGAAATGATCTCTCCTTCTAGTATCCGTGACAGAATCTAATTCGAAAGTCCTCAGTGAGTTATTTCTAAAACTGTACCAGAACATTCTCGGATGCTTTCTAGTGGATACCAATGTTTATTTAGTGGGATCTGAAAACCACCTTGCGAGGAACCATGCATCCTCGATGCAATTTTTTTTAGCTTTGATTGATAGTTACTATCGCGACAAAAAGAAATTTAGTGAGGGAAAAATTAAGCAATGGACCACACTTTCTACCGTTTTAGTGGCTTAATAAACCACTTGTGATGTTGGGAGAACACGAGAAACGTTTGGAGGCGAGTGATCCACAAACTTTTCTCGTGTTCTTCCAACATCCTAAGTGGATTATTAAGCCAGTAAACCGATAGAATGTGCCGCCTATTGCATTTATAAAATGGACTTCAATTTTCCATGGGTTTACTGATGCTATAAAAGATAGGTTTTTGACCAGTCAGGGTGATCGTATTCTCTCAGATATTTAAAAATGCGTACGGATGTCTTAAGTAAACTCGGCGGGCTGTGATAATAAGTTCCGGTAACATGGATCAATAATTATCCAAGTTTCGGTATGGCATCATTACTCTCTTGAATTAGGATATTCATGTCAAATTGCGGACATTATTTCACGCTCTATCTTAAAAGTATTCCGATGAAAAGTTTATCTATTAGCTCTGCAGGTGTGTGAGGATCTATAAGAAATGAAGAAAAAGGCCGTGTCTGCATGTAGTTACTGATTTATCTATTACATAACTCACTAATAAAAAAAGGTGTTTTTTAGTTAGGTAAAGAGGGATAAACGAACAGGTCTAATCAATGCAGAGATTGTATCAAAAAAAGACTTTAAGAGCAGACTTTAATTTGTTCGTAAAATTAACTGAGAACGGGGAGTGATCTAATAAATTAAAAGTTGTACAGTTATCAGTTGACAGATCAGGAAATTAAAAGAAATAGAATGGATAGTCTGAGTTAATGTTCATTAACCGCATGGAATAAGGACGACCATTTGACACACACTTCAACACGCTGCCCTAACAGTTAAGCAAATCTTTCTCCGAAGATTCAGGGTCGGATGAGAGACTTAAACACAGGTCAATAGAGCGGAAAACGCTGTGTGAGAAAAAATCGGCCAAAAAAACTGACTTTCAAAAAGGTTCCGTTTATAGATCTCATAAAATTCTGGATGGATGGTTTTTAAGGTGGATGTGTGGTACCTCACCTATATAGGTAAAGAGCAAACATTCGTCCCTGAATTTTCGTCAAACATTCCATTGATGATAAATAGTTCGGGGTAATTTTCTTCCCAACACAATTGTTAAAAGTCATTGAATGCGTTTCCAATCGTCATTATACTTCTCGCTCGGACAAACATTCCGGTTGGGTCATTCTCATCTCACTCTTAGGTTCAATTCTGTTGAGCACAGATTAAATTCCTTCCGGAAGATTCATGTCCCTTCAAAGGAGAATTTAGAGGTTCAGATTCTTCGTTCCCAAGCTGTGGATGTTCTTCCAAGGTTAAGAGTTCCTTTAAGAAGAAACTCGTATATTTCAGATTCTTGTCGGATGAATACTTATTTTTCCCCATAGAAAACAAAATTCTTTTGACGAGAACCAGTCAATAAGGTATTCTTCTGAGAAGAAACACTGCTCTCCTCTCAAGATATAATATTCATTTACGCAGAATCTCATATTTTGAGCGAGCTTGTCAAGCTGATAATTGCTCTTCTTCCGTAAAGTCCTACTATTTGTTTGAGAAGAATGTCAGTTTTCGATTCTTTTGAAAATGATTTTTGTCCTTCACCCAAGAGTAAACATTCGATTTGCAAATTGATCGAAAATATTGTCTTCTTCTTCAGCGACTCAGTTTGCGTTTGTGAAGACTCGTATTCAAACGGGTTCTAACTGGAAAAATCTTGGTGCTTTTCTGACGACTGATTATTTCGTTGAGCAAAATCTCATTTTTTTAAAGGGTTTTATTGAATATCCTGGAAAATCTCCTTAGACCGCAAAAATATCTGAAAGAATTTTGGCAAACAAATACTTGTCAAATTCGTTCAGAGCGGTCTCTGGTTACAGACGCAAAATTGTTAACCAGCATGTTATAAGAAAGAATCTGACTCTAACTAAGAAATATCGTCCACTCCCACAAGGTAGAAAGCGGCTCATGTAAAAATGTTTGCCTCTTACGTTGAAACCAATGACATGTCCTGACGCAGAGGCGAGACCCCGAACATATATCGAACCTAACCCGAGAAAACCAAAAATGAACCCGAAGAAACTCGATAAGATTCGTTTAACGACCGCTTGAGTCGGAAATGAACCAAATCGGAGATGAAATACCGTCACCAACGACCCTTGAGTACTTTGCAGAGGGACAGGTAGCCAGAGAATCGTGACGCCATCGGGGGATTATCTGAGGCAATGAATGAGACTTGCTTATCAGATTTTATAATTAAGTTCGGATATAACGCGCGCTGTCATTGGTTGAAAGAGCATGCTCTATGAGAGTATAGAGCATAGAACTGAGCTAAAGCTGTCACGCCATCTGCCAAATTGTACTATGTTCGACCTTTCTGGGGCTTCTTTTTAGCTTTTTTCCGATAATTGAAAGTAAAATTTCGGAACAAGCGAGC